CATCTCTCAAAATGTGGATGATAAAAATTTTCCTCCTTTTGGTAGCTGGAGCATTAGGGAGACATTGAAATGTCTCCCTAATGACCGATGTCTCCCTAATGTTGAACAATTTACCAAAAAATGTCTCCCAAGTGACCTATTTGGAAATATATCACCAACACTTCATCTAGGTTTGTTTTAAAGTCTTCATACATTCTCACTAATGCCTTTGTTAATGTTATGAGTTTCATGCATAGATAATATACATGTAGGTAGGAGGACTTTATTCTAAAACATTTCACATAATAAATATATATGTAGGTTTATTTTGTGCTGGCAGACTTTATAGTGATAGTTGTAACTAAGATTCGTAAAATACCCGGGACATGTTTTCTGTTCTTATTGGTTGAAACGTGTCACATGTTTTGACATTTGATAATGCCTGCTGCGTAAATCACGTGCTGGCACATTGATAAGAAACAATTTAATCTGGGCTGATTGGTCAGGAGTCTTTGTGTGCACACGACGTGCCACGCGCATGCAAAGTTCATTGAATGGATTCTTTTGGACAACTTTTAAGATCTTGCTTAGGAGAACGAATGCTGATAATGCTCTCGCCTGCGGCTCGGGCATTAGTCGTGTCCATTCTCCTGAGCCATTTTCTTAGTAAACGCTCAGGATGATTCCACTGCTGGTGCGAGAAAGACACAACAAGCTAACATACTTCGACTGAAATGAACATCTGACACATGTACATGTATGTGGTATGTATCATTTAACTGCTAATGGAAAATAAACCATACATGTACATGTGTGTATTTCATTCCAAACTTTGATATCATAGCTGACTATTTGTTATTTTATCTTAATCTATCAAACTCCACACCTTAAAAATTTTTTCATGGAAAATTAGAAAAACCACTTCAATGATGACATCTGAGATGAAGAAGGTTTTCTGCCTTACTCGGGTAACGGCCTCCTTCAACCAAAATAACATCGGTGCTTCCAGCAAAACTAATCAAAAAGAATCGAGGACGGAAATGTGAATGATCTGGCAGGGACGGAAGGCTGGGTGTGTTGCCCTAAGCCATGACTACCGTTACATACATCAGAACCCCCTCAGTCATACACTAGTAATTTTTTTGGTGAAGACAGGTAGCAGGCCTATTCGTAATTTTTTTAATCATCAATGACCTTAAATGGAACACGCACAAAGCATGCCCACAAGCCGTCAAGGTTCTTTCGGCGAGATAGACAGAGCAAAACAGTTCATCATGTGTAACTAGGGTCGAGTGGATTGAACGCAGGCCTATCTTTATTCAGGTGGTGGGAGGGGAGGGAAGGCTTTTGCCTTTTCAGCTTCAAGCACGTCTTGAGCACTGTCAAGGCAATGAGGTCCTCCCCCCTTCCGTGGACTGGATTCATCATCGATTCGTAGCCAGGATGTGGCAGGTTTAATAAAAGAGTGCCGGGGAAATAGACCAACATGATTACTTCGCTCGAGGTGATGTGAGATGGCAAAGATGGAAATCAGGGCATCTAAAAAACAGCATCAGATATTGATTTTTTTTTGAGGGGAGTCAGGAAGGAAACAAGATGTGCTTCTAAAAATTGAACATGTACATCTGCCTGTAACAACTTTTGAACACAAAGCCCTATGTAATGTTTTGGACAGTCAAGTACAGGCATGTATTATCTTGATCATATCTTGATCATGTGCGCACTCACAGTAAGGGACGTGGGACCACCCTTCTTTTACGCGACACCGTGCTAGTCACTAAAATTGCTGCTGACGAGGTTGACTCCTTCGAATTCTCAGAATGGATAACAGCGCATGGTTCTCAATGATTTAGGATCGTGATTGTATATTGGCCACCCTACTCACCGAATCACAGAATCCTACAGGTACTTTTTTGAATGAGTTTGCTGATTACTTTGAATCAGTGGTCTTGTCCCCTGAGCCATTATTAACTACTTGTGATTTTAATATCCACGTAGATTACATCAATGATCTGGATGCATCGTGGTTTAGTGATCTACTAAAGTCAATGCATCTTGAGCAGCATGTGCATTGCTCAACTCATCAGCACGGACACACTTTAGACTTGATCATTACTCGCCAATCTGAATCAGTCATTATTGGTCCACCGATAGCAGACTATATGATCTCTGATCATACTTCCCTATTGTGTAATTTGTCTTTCACGAGACCTCTACTTCCTGTAAGGGAGCAAGCGTTTAGGAAATTGAAAGCCATAGAAACGGCGCTGTTGAAGAGTGGATTGCGGGCATCAGATCTGTGTGTCAACCCTCCTCTTCATCTATCTCAGTTGGTTGCAAGTTACGATGCAACCCTAGCTGAAGTGTTCAATAAGCATGCTCCTCTTCGAACCAAAACCATTACGGTCAGGCCCCTTGTACCCTGGCACTACAGTGACATCAAGGCTGCCAAGATTGCCAGGAGGCAGGCTGAACGTAAATGGCGTCGCACAAGAGCAGTCTCAGACTTGAACATTTACAAGGCAAGGAGGAATTTTGCTGTTAACTTAATGGCAAGGGCGAGAAAGGACTTTTATCAAAATATCATAAATGAGAATTGCTCTAGTGCCAAAAAGCTGTTCCAGGTTACAAAATCTCTTCTCAGGAAAGATATTACATGTAACTCTCTATTACCTTTTTCTAAAGACAGAGTTTCATTTGCGAATGAAATGGGTCGGTTTTTCACAGGGACAATTAATAAAATTTATGTTAAACTTGACAGGCTGGTTGATAGATCATTTGAGCATGTTTCCAATTCTGGTGTATATTCTGGATGTCATATGGATTGTTTTTCAGCGCTTTCTGAATTAGATGTGAGAAACCTTATTAAGGATTTAGCCCTTTAATCTTGCTTTCTTGATCCTATGCCAACAGCTGTAGTGGTTGATTGTATTGATGTTTTACTTTACAATAGTTCGCTTACTTCTGGCACTTTTCCCACTGAATGGAAGCAGTCCTCAGTAATACCAATTTTGAAAAAGCATAATCTTGAGCCGGTGTTGGAAAACTACCGGCCGGTTGGCAATCTTTCATTTGTGTCAAAATTGACTGAAAGGGCTGTTTTTAACCAAGTGCATGATTATTTAACTGTTAATAAACTGCATCCGCCACTTCAGTCTGCCTATCTTATGAAAATGAACAGTCAGCATGTTGTTCTACTTATTTTACTAGACTTAAGTGCTACGTTTGATACTGTTGGTCACACTATTTTGTTAAGTTGGCGCAGGTCCAAATTTGGCATATGTGGTCTAGCACTGGATTGGTTCTCATCTTATCTTACCAGCAGAAGTCAAAGTGTACTGATACAGGGATTCCAGTCAAACAAGTTTGATCTTACCTGTGGTGTTCCACAAGGTTCCTGTCCTGGACCCCTGTTGTTCATCATGTACTCCTCAAGGTTATTTGATATCATTGACACTCATTTACATGTACCTGATGTGCATTGCTATGCAGATGACACGCAACTGTATATATCTTTTAAACCGGATAACTTAGCTAATCAACAGGTTGCCGTCTCAGCAATGGAGAGTTACCTCCGAGATATTAGAGAGTGGATGCTGCATAACAGACTAATGTTAAATGACAGTAAGACTGAGTTAATTGTCCTTGGTTGCAAGCAGAAAGAGTCCAAAGTTTATGTTCCTTATATCACAGTTGGCGGCACAAAAATCATGCCAGTGACTACTGTGAGGAACCTTGCTTCTTGTTTGATTCCAATTTGTCTGTGGGTTCCCACATTACGAAAGTCTGTTCCACTAGCTTTTATCATCTCCATAACATAAAACGCATCAGCAAATGTTTACCTCGTAATTCTCTTATTATTTTAATTCATGCCTTCATCACTAGCCAGTTGGATTATTGTAATAGCCTGTTTTATGGCTTGCCACATGTTCACCTTGCCAAATTACAAGGAGTTCAAAATGCTGCGGCAAGACTGGTTGTAAATGTAAATAGACGTTGTCACATTACCCCTATACTTAAAGATTTGCACTGGTTGCCGGCCAAAATTTTGTGTCATGTTTAAAATTTCACTGCTCGTTTTTAAATGTATTTACTCCTCAGCGCCTGATTATCTGTGTGACCTTTTACTGTTAGAAACCAACATGCTTATAGTTTGAGGTCAACAAGTGAAATATTACTTGAGTATACTAGGGATAGAATGCTACATCCTTTTGGTGATCGGGCTTTTGCTTCAGTTGCCCTAAAGTTGTGGCATGCACTAAGGCCTGTAATACGGGGGGTTGAATGGTTGGGTAATTGAAAAAACAACTGAAAACCCACTTGTTCAAACAGGCATTTGGGTCTTAAAATACTCAGTTTTACCCGCTGTTTATCTTTAACTGTGTTTTCTGCTGGTGTCTATTTTGACTTTATTTAGTTTTTTTTGTGTGTCCAGTTGAAGGGTCCTCTTTGTTAGAATGAGCTCTGGTCCATAATTTTGTTTGCCGTGTGATTTTAAGCTTTCATGTGTACTGTGCGAACTCACTTATTTGCCTAGTCCTATTTTTCTTATATCTTTTAGACTAAAATGATTTTGTATTTAACTGTAATTGTAATGAATTCTTATCGTAACTTTTATGTAACTTTGTAATTGTGCCTTTTAACATTCCCAGATGGAGAGGGCGCACAAGAAACATAATAAATTATTATTAATTATCATATTGCAAATCAATAAAAAGACGACTCCTGGTATGTGCAGGTGCTGAAATCAACATTTTGTCCTCTTACACACATGTTACATGTACTATTGGTTAACCCTTACTGTCAAAAATCCTCTGAAATCGGACACCCGGTTGGAGCATCTCCATGGATTGAGGACAGTGTTCCATCCGCATTATTAGCTGATCCCATAGAAGTTTCACGTAGATAAAACTGACTGTTCTTCTCCAACCCTACATGTATAGCCCTGCCTCCCTCTGCAAAGTGGGCTGCAAAGTCCTTGGAATCCTTTCCCATAGAAGCACACGAGATACTGTACCTACCAGGAGATTGTCACAAATGCCGTTGGCAACTTTGGCAAGGGTGTTGGCATCGAGTGGTGCTATGACGAGGAGGTCGGCGCGTCGCCGCAGCTCGATGTGTAAGACGGGATCATCGCGGTTCTTCCACATCTGGATCATCAAAAGAAAGAACATCAAGTACTGAATGTTGTTGCATGGGACACAATGCCAAAAATGTTACCGAACCTTACAAATAGAAGAGATTTTACTGAAGTTGAAGGACACCGCACCGCGCACTGCTCATCAACAAAACACCCTAGCTATCACCTCACACTGCTTCAAAAAAGCTCAAAATTTATTAAACATGTTTGAACAAGAGGATAACGTTTGTTCGGTGTCATTTATCCGAAGACTGTGGCTGCTCTTTTTAGAAAAATATCTCAGATTTCTTCGCAACTGCCCATGTTATCAACATACTCCTTGACATAACATGAAGTTAAATTGTAGTTGCTCTAGATGGTGGTGTGGTGTACTGTAGATACAGAATCCAAGTGCTTGATTTTAGAGACTTTAATGTAAGGGGTGACTTTGAAGAGTGAAGAAAGAAAACAGAAAGGAAACCTCAGGGTACGTTAATGAAAAGCATTCCAACAATTAGTCAGGAAATACATTTCTTTAAAAAGGACTCTGGTCCACAAAATCTATCCAAATGCCCACTGGTATTACAGTGGCTGATTCGCCTCGTGACAGTACCGTAAATTCTAATGGCTAGCAGGATGCATTCACCATTACAGAGGTGCTTCCCTAGAATAAGGGTGCTCTCTTGCTGGGATTGGTCCTTACCAATGGTGAAGGTGGGCGGAGCGGGAAAAAACGTGCAACTTACTACTATCCAGTGCTTCCTCCTCCAAAAATTACAATCAGCAACAGTGTGCTCATTCTTTCAGCCACTTCTGCTCGGAATTTTCCCTGGGGTCAACAGAGTGTTGAAGAAAGTTTTCCCAAATCATCAAACATGGGCATAATTTTTTTTTTTCCAAATAGGCCAACTTGGCAAAGATTCCATGTAGTCTTCACCCAAGGCATACAACAAAAGCCCGCAGACTTCCATTGGTTATACACCCTAACCACTGCAGAGTAAGGAGTCTTGAAAAATCAGTCACCCCAAGGAGCCCATATGGTCGCTATGGTTGCAAGCCAGTAAATTGGTCCAAAATTGCCTCTGCGGACTGAATCACGATTTGTAGGCTGTCAAATTCTCTGCAATTAAGAGCATTTTGTGGCACGTGGACAGGGTGGTTTGTTTAAAAGGTCGATGAAATCCAGGGGCAGGACCATTAGCTTGTATTTCTAAAAGTATTGAACCAAACGGGCCCTCTAAATTGCTCTATTTTGCCATGGAGTGTAGGCATCAATTTCCAAAATGGCAATGGGCCTCTTGACTGTTTTGAGGGATGATTTTCTCTGGAGAGAAATATCTTCACGTCATCAGTTAAGCCACTGAAATTTGAAAGGAAAATGAAAGATGAGGAAGTGAGCTTAAATTTGATACACGAATGTGTCTTGAATACCTAATAGGCACATAAGAAATTTGCATATGTAGGCTGGGCATGGGAGTGTGAATGCAGAAGACCTAGTATTTTTCCTGATTTTTTGAAGTGGGGATATTCATCACTGTTGTCTATGGCAACTTATTTACTGGTCTGGACCCCTATCTCATTGTTTACAGACATGTGCTGACTGGTCACGGCTGTTTGGGTTGTGACTGGTATTACTGTACTTCCACAGCAGCATAATGAAAAAATGTAGATAGAGATGGAATCTGTGTCTTCTGAGAGTTGTATTAGCTACCATAAAACAGTGTACAGGTTCAGGCATGACCGGGAACTGACCCAGTGACAAAAGGCTGACGGCGTGGAGAAAAAAGTCTTACTTTGTGGGTGTGGCTGCTCAGAGGGTTGGCATTCACTATAAACATACACGTATACATGTACCCTACACGTGAGTAATAATTCAAACCAGCCTCTTCTACAATTTTCAAGATGTATTTTTGTATATTTTTATATATTTTTAATATACGTTGGGTAAGGGCAAAACCGTTATATATAACTCTTCTACAATCTTCCCTTGCTTTTCTTCTTTAAAAGACTGGTCCCTCTGATGCTAATTGCTATATTGTGTGTGTAGAATCTAACTATTCTTGCTGCTACATCTCCATACTAAAAACATGAAACTCCATATTAGCACATCAGGGTGCAGTGTTCCAAATTAAGGAAAATTCTCCGCAAGGCCGAGGTGCTTAAAATGTACCCCTACAAATTCTTTCGAAAAGAGGGGTCTGTGTGGGCCAAGAAATTGTGGGATTGTGTAAGTATGACTTAGAATCATCTCTGTAGATTCAGGGACCCCCATCTGGGGGAAAGCAGACAAAAATGTGATTGAAAATTTGTCAGAAGAGCCTGAGAAGGTGAAGGATGTCATTTGAAAAATGGCTGCTGAGAAGACTTGGGAACATTCACTTTTTGGGGGGTGAGTTTGTTTTGGGCAGATAAGTAAAAAATTTCATTGGTGAACCAACTAAAATTTGAAAATCAAATAAAATCTAAAGGACCAAACAACTCATTGTTGTTTGTAAATTGTATGAGACGCCTCAGGGACTTCAGTTGCCTGCAATTGGGCTCCAAACTTTGTTGATTTTACACTGTTTTCAATGGAGCTTGAATTAGTTCAGTCACTTCAGTGCACCCCTCATGATAGTAATTAAGAATCCAGACTCCATCTTCCATCATAACCTTCATTCCTGTTTAATCCTGCACATATAGAGTTACTCATCCCAGATGCCTTTTGCCTTGACCTGATTTAACCAAACACCCCAGGACAGGCCCTGACCCAAATCCCCTAGGCGAGCATTACCTGCTTGAGTGGCTCTTTTCACACAAGCCTTCTTGTTGGGAGTTAACATTATCCAATTACTCATTGCAGTCTACTTGAGCTAGGGCCTGGCCCCCAGTTTGTTTATAGTCTGATGTGGTAATTAGATTAGTAAATTGCCACTGGGGCAGTGGGCTCTCTACAGGACAGTACATTGACTAAGTGGCAGTCTGTGCACGGATGGTCTGTGTTAATGGTGTTTCCTTTGATCAGTTACCAATTAAGGCACAGACAGGAGGGATATGGGCCATGTAATAACCCCCCTTATTTGGCAGTGGGAAACCCCCATGGTCCACTATTGTGGATTCTTGGGGTTATTGTTAATTCCATGAACTTTCCAACATCTAAAGCAGCAGCAAAAATAGAGAACAAACCATATACGATATACTGGTACCTGTATATTATATTAAGGCTTTGCAGGTATACCGTGGGATCTTCAAGAAGAGGTGGTGTTCATCTATCTCTTCAAA